ATCGAGGAGAGAGAAAAGAAAGGTGACATGGTGTCTTGGTTAGGGGACTTCCTCGCAGACTCACTCTGCATCCGGCTGCAGCCCCAGGCGGGTGCTTTTTCCGTCTGCCACAGAAATATCCCGGGGTGCTGTGACCACCTCGACCTGTCAAGGGCGATACAGCCATCTGGGGACACATAGTGCTTCTTGGGGAGTGAGCTGGCCATCAGGGCCCCAAGCATGTGCTCCCTGGCCTGGCCTCACAGCTCCCAGCCTGGGGATCCAGTGACATCTGGCTAGAGCCCACAGCGAAGGGGGCCTCAGGAGGTCCTCGCAGTCACCTGCTTGCTTGGGGCCTGACGATGGCTGCCATAGCAAGTGACCTGACATAACTGAGCTCCCTGACTCTTGTCTCCCGCATGAGCTCCTACTTGTTTGTGTGCCCCTGGAGGCTGGCTTGGCCGGCACATGGTGAAGTGGCCTGTTCTTACGCCTTCGCCCAGGGCCATGGTAGGCGGGTGGGCTGCAGAGAGCAGTGCTTCTTGGTTTTCTTACTGTGTCCCCCTATGTCTTAGCAGGGTCGGGCAAAAACAATGATGCCGAGAAGGTGACCGAGAAGCTAGAAGCTCTCTCCGTGAAGGAGGAGAGCAAGGAGTCGGAAGACGCCGAGAGCAAGGCTGGAGCGGAGGAGGAGCAATAAACCACCGCCCCTTGTTTTCTCTTCCTTCCGTTCTTTTTCTCCTTTTTCTTTTTTTAAATTTTGCCCTGCCCCTTCTTTTCAGTTTGTTTTTATTCTGTTTTGTTTTTACAAGGGACTTTATATAAAGAACTGAATTCCAACATTCAGGTTGTTTTTTTCTAAGTTTCTGCCCTATTGAAGAAGACTTCAGAAAATCCATTCCCCAGTCATGAAAATGTACTGTGCTCACTTTCTTTTCCATAGTGGAAACACTTATTTATAGTCATCAAAAATAGTGAATAAACGACACATTCGAAACCTGCACAGAGGGCAGGACCATGTGTGCGCCGGCCCTGTCCTGGGAGCAGTGTGGGTGCCCGCTGGCTCCGGGGTGCTGGGGCAGCGCTGCGGAGCCCACTTGCCACCCCTGGCTCTGCCTCGGGCTTGGGGCTGCTGCTGGCCTCTGGGGCCGCGCTGTGTCCAAGGTGGGGCAGGGGTGCTTGCTGTGGCGTTTGTTTCTGCCTTGTAAGAAGTAGGTGGGCTTCTGCTGGGTCTTGCTGTTTCTTGCCTCTGGGGGAGGGAAAGGAAGAGCACCGGAGTACACCCTGGCTTTTCACATGGGAAGGCCAAGTAGGTTTCCAGGCTTTGGCCAAGGCTGCGTTTGGTTGGCCCTGGGCCCTGGCGGAGGGAAAGGCTGGTCCCATAGCACACTTGTCCAGTCTGGTGCAGTGTGTTGGGTGGGTGGGGAGCTCAGCCCCACAGCCCTCTTTGGATACCCTGCTGCTGTCCTCAGAGAAAACTGGCCTACCTGCTCACTCATGGTATCTCCATCTGGGTGGAATTGTGGATATCTGCAGTAGCTTTAAATAAAGGGCCGTTTGCAAGAATGTAAATGGGTGCCATTTGGGGGCTTGTCTTGTAAAACATGGTGTCTGAATGGTGTCCTAGGTGGGGGAAGAGGGTTTTTGGTGCACTGGCAGGCTTTTCAAACCATGTGGTCACATATCATAACGTGTGTCCTGGGAGGCCAGTGGGGATCCAGAGTGTGGCCATACAGCCCTCCGATGCGGGTGAGGGGTTGCGGAGCAAGTTTGGACCTGGCCCTGGAGTAGATTACCCTCACTCGGCATTTGGCCATTGACACCTGCTGGGGGTGCTTTACGGTGTGGCCAGGGTCTGCCGGCTGGGCCCTGCTCTATCCAATGTCTCCATGTGTTCTGTGTGTCACGTGACATGTCTTGTTCTAAACCTCGGAGAAGCACTTCCAAAGGATGCTGTGCATCTCTTGTGTCCTGGCAGCCTTATGCTTCTAGAGGCACAGGTCTGGGTGCTCTTGAAGTCAGTGTTGGCACAGAGGCCCTTCCGGCCAAGGAGGGACACTGAAGCTTGTGCACCTTACTTGTCTTGATGAACTGGAGTCTTGACGTAAGACAGCTGTTGCTTCCCCCTGGGCCTCTGCAGGATGCACTGATGTATGAAAGGTTGGCCCAGGCCTGATCCTTCAGGAAAGGGCAGTCAGACTCCCCTTTCACTGAGTACAGAATGGTTGTTGAACATTGTTTTTGCTTTGGGCTCTAATACAAGATGAATCCCACTTGATGTGAAACCCCAGGCTGACTTCTTCCCTCTTGGGTGAAGAGTTGTGTCTCCAAGGGGTGGGGACAACCACAACAGCAGGGTAGGCCCCTCACAGTGGCTGGGGAACAGAGATGTGCTGTGATCAGGCTACATTACAGGTGGCTTGCTGACACTGCAGAGTGCTGCAGAAAGGGAGATGTGCAGTCCTGACATCCAGTCCCACTGGGATGAACAGGGATGCCAGTGGGGCCTCTCCCAAGCCCCTCAGCAACTGTGTTTTCAGGTGAGATCCTCCCTGTGGCAGAGGCAACGGTAGGCCATAATTGGGGTGCTGTTGGTATTGGGGATGGAGTGAGAAGTGAGTTGATACACCTTTCTGTTCCAGGTCAGTCCCTTGGGCAAGCTTTCTGCTCTGCTTTCCTTTTCCCTGGGATCTTAACTCAGCGGGGGAGGAATCCTGGGCCGGAGGCCTCACTGGGTCTCCCCCGCTCTTCTCCCCTCCCCCGACCCAGGACTCCCCTCTGCCCAGGAAATCTGCAGGGACCTCACCAAGGAGGCACCAAGCACCCCTTCTCCCCATGACTAGCACTTGGTGCTCACTCCACAACTTTCAGCTGTCCTGGTACCCCTACACAGACCCAGAGTGAGACCTGGGCCTGAGTCCAATTTGGGAGCCTGTGGGGAGGCTCCCCATGGGTGTGCCTGCATCCAGAGGCTTCCAGAGCTTGGGGTCCCAGAAGAGTGGGAGCAATAGCAAAGCCGTGGGTGGGGCATCTTTTGGCCAGAGTCTTTGTGAAGACCCTGGACCTTACATCTCCAGGTGCTGAGGCACCATGGGCAGAGGTAAGGAGGTTTCCGCTCTTCACTCACTTTTGTGTCCCGAGCCTGCCACTCAGTGCTAGGGTGCCCCCCAACCCTATGCTAGGCCCCCTGTAGTGGGCTCCCCACCAGGCAGAGGCTACAGCTGGACTGTTATGGGAAAAGGCCCATGAACATTTCTATTCTTAAGGAGCTGTACTAATGCCCCAGTTTCAGCCCCCCGGCCCAGGGTCTTTCTAATGGCTCACAGCCAGCAGCCTGCCAAGCTGGGGCTGGGGCCTTCACAAGGCCTTCGTATAGGCAGGGAGGGGCTTCCAGGCCAAGGAGCCCCAGGGCCTGTGGCAGCATGGCCTGAAAAAGTGGTCCCTGGGCAGCAAGGGATTCTGGCCAGAGAGGAGCAGGTGCCCAGGGCCAAGGAGGGTGAGGATCCCCCTTCGAAGCCCCAGTGGATTCCCACCTTGGGAGGGCGCTGATGGGTCTTGGTTTCCAAGCAGAGAGCCCTGGGGCTATGTTCGAGGGAACATAGACTTGCTGGTCCTCACTGTGGAGGCTTCAGAGCTTGAACCAGGTCCCAGCCTCCCAGAGGTTCTGCACTGCTCTCCCTGGCCGCTCAGCCTGTTTTGGCCACACTGCAGCCAGGCACTGCAAAGGCATGGGTCCACCTTAAGTGGGCAGCAGCAGTGGAGCTGGCGGGTGGGATTTCCTGCAGGAGGTGGGCCTGCCCACAGGCCTATCCCAGGCGGGGCAAGATGCCCAGTGCTTCACGGGCTTCCCAAGGGGCGCTCCACCCTGCCTCTGGGAGGCTGAGGGGCTCAACCGACCCTAGCTCTCCCACCTACACACACTCCCGAACCTGCAGTTTGGGCAAGGAAGCCTTGTCCTCCTTACCCTTACAACCGAGCGCTGTGAGATGGGCAAGAAATAAACAATGTCACAAATTTCCCACCCTCATAAATGTCAGGAGGTCTCCGGATGAGAGAGGTCTGGCCCTGTTTGGGAATAGCATGAAACAGGAACATCAGTCTGACCCGAGGGACCGGCTCCGAGATGTTAAGGGAAAGACCTGCGAAGAGGTCCGGGAGGGGACCAACATGCCCCAGCGCCAGGGCCTGCGGGCCGGGATCAGGGGGCCTGGCGTTCTCTGCGTTGTCCACCCGGTGGGCCAGCACTGCAGGTGTGCGACGACAGCTGCGTCGCTTCAGAGTGCCGCGGGGACTCGCCTGGCCAGGGCACCAAAGCGAGGAGCGGCCGCGCCCGGGTCCTGAACACCGCGACAGACGTCAGCGCCGGCGGGGCCCAGGGGGCTCGGTAGCTCCGGAGTCTGGGAGGCTCAGCCGCCCAGCGCCCGGGGGAGGAGGGTGTGGGGCGGGGCAGGGGCGGGGCGCGTCCACGAAGCGTTCTGCTCCGTCCAGCCCCACCCCGATCCCGCCCCCTGCCCCGCCTCTCCGCTCGGTCCACCTTAAGGGGCGCGCTGACATCAGCGCGCCGCCGCCGCCGCTACCCTTGGGGTGGGATTTC